CGATCCTTCCGCCTCAGCCTTCCAAGTAGCTGGAACTACAGGTGCACGCTACCACGCCCGGCTAATTTTTTGATTTATTGTAGAGATGAGGTCTTGCCAATTTGCCCGGGCGGGTCTCGAACCTGCAGGCCCAGGCAATCCACTCACCTCGGCCTCCCAAAGCGCGGGATGTTATGACATATTTCATCACAATAACAAAGAAAAAAATGTAACTGGCAAATGCCACTGTTGGCCAGAACCACTGTCCATTTCTGGACATGGCCTGAGACTTTCCCCAGGCAGTGCAGAGGAGTGGGTGGTCGCTATCATAAATTACATGCACATTCTTTTCTCCAGCCATAGGAGGCAATGAGATGAACCCTAATTTATGAATTAACCAGAATCTATTTATAAAAAATTGTGTATTTATTCTTACATGTTTAAACTTTAGTCGCCTTCAAAGTCCTCTTCGTTGGATACAATACTCCTATCGAGATGCTTTTTCCACTGCTCAAAACAGTGTTTGAACTCATCCATTTCGATGCCTTTGAGTGCTTCTGCCATCTTTTGTTTCACCTCTTCCACGTTGGCAAAGCGTTTCCCTTTGAGGACTGTTTTCATCTGGAGAAACAAAAAAAGTGGCTCTGGGAGAGATCAAGTGAACAGGGAAGGTGGGGGGCCATTTTTTGATCAAAAACTGTTGAACACTCAGTGCGGTGTGGGCAGGTGCGATGTCATAGTGGAAGAACCAGTCACCTGTTTGCCACAACTCAGGACGTTTCTTCTGCAATGTGGCCTCTCACAACAATGCTAGCTGGTCCACTAATGCTGATGGATTCCTGGAGCACTCACCTAGCAGGAGAAGCCTGTACTCCAAGGGGCCTGCCCATCAAAAAATAATTCCAGTTTGGGGTCCCCCCTTGGGCCTCTCCCTAAACTGGCAGATGTTCAGATTCTCCCACTGCAGAGCACCCTCATACACCTCCCACCTCCCCATGCCTGCCTGAGGGTGAGTTCCTAGAGTAAGATTGTAAGATCAGAGGGACCAGGTTTCTCCAAGTCTCTCGCGGGTCTGCCCACCTGCCCTCTAGAAACGTCTGTGTCCATGCGGCCACCCTCTTCTGCCAGCAGCTGGCCTCAGTTGCCGGTACCCTGGCCGACAACACTCTGTAGTCAGGCTGCTTCATCTGTGCCAGTGTGGAGGATAGAGGCAACGTTTCTCGTTTCAATTTGCATTTCTTTGATCGGTGTCGCCACTGGGCTGTGTCCCTGTGGATGGGACACTGGCGTGTTTTCTGTTCTGTGAATTGCCTGCCTGTGCCCGTTGTCTCCTTTCCCCCTACCCACCCCCTGCGGGTATTCAGCAGGCCAGCCTGCCCCCCTGTGTGGGAGGGGGGCTATCTGGCCCCGCAGGAGATACCCTGAGCTGGCCAGGAGACACCCAGAGCTGGTCAAGGCTGGCAGGTCTGGAGAGGAGGCCCTGGCCTTCCAGATCCACGACAGACGGCAGGACTGTTGGTCTGAATTAACCATTGCACTCTCCTGAGACTCAGTTTCCCCATCTGTAGCAGGGGTTCATGAGAGTTACCCTTCCCACTGGGGGTGGCTTCTGTGACAGGCCCAGTTGGTTGAAAGTCTGGTTTTCAGAGGTAGAAGGACAAATCCTGTTGATTCCACGCCGACGTCCCCAGGGTTGAAATCCACAGAGGGAGGAAGTAAAAGAGAGCATGCCAGGGGCTAGGGGAGGGGAACGGGGAGGAAAGTTTCACGGGGACAGAGTTTCATTTGGGAAGATGGAAAGCTCCAGAAAGGGTAACGGTGATGACCATACAACAGTGTGAATATGCTTAATGCCGCTGAACGGTGCACTTAGAATCATCAAGAAGTAGGCCGGGCCTGGTGGCTCATGCTGTATCCCAGCACTTTGGGAGACTGAAATGAGAGGATTGCTTGAGGCCAGGAGTTCAAGACCAGCCTGAGCAACATAGCGAGACCTCATCTCTACAAAAAATACAAAAAATTTAGCCAGGCACGGTGGTGCGTACCTATAGTCCCAGCTACTCGGGAGGCTGAAGTGGGAGAATCTCTTGAACCCACGAGGTTGAGGCTGCAGTAAACCATGATTGTGCCACCACACTCCAGCCTGGGTGACAGAGCAAGACCTTGACTAAAAAAAAGTAAAAAATAAAAATAAATGGTCAAGAAGGTAAATGTTATATTGTTTATTTTGCCATAGTCAATAACAGTCTGGCTTTGACAGGGACTCGGCTTTTAATCTCTGCTTTGCTATTGAGGGTTTGCTCTGGGACAGTTACTCAGCCTCATCTGTATGAAGGGTGTGTCTCTCCCTCCCCCCTAGGACCGTGGAGGGGATCAAATGACTGGGAGGGTGCACTGATCACATGGCAAGGGAGCCCGCAGGTCAGTGGCTGTGCACCCCTGCTCTGTGCCATCTTCAGGAACTGAAAGGACCTAGGGCCCTGCTGGGAGTGAGTCCTGCCCTCGGGCTCTGCCATCCAAGGGCTGCCCTCCCATGAGCAGATGTCCTGTTCCATGTGAGCCTTAGGCTTCTCTGGCAGGGCAGCAGGGCTGAGGGCCCCCCCACCTACTGCATTCTGGTGCCTGCGACACGATATCTCAGGATGATCGCAGGCTGCTTGGACAAAGCCTCTTCACGATTGAAGGTGCCCCCAGGAAGCCCCCAGTGGACTGGCCACCTGCTGGAGCGGGGGCTGCAGGGTGGGGGGGCTCAGGGGGCTGAGGTCTGCACATGTCCTGGCTCTGTTCCTGCTTGTGGCATGACCAAGGGCAAGCATGTATCCCTCTCCAGCCCTCCCCATGAAAAAACAGACCCCAGGCTGGGCATGGTGGCTCATGCCTATAATCCCTGCACTTTGGGAGGCCGAGGCAGGAGGATTGCTTGAGCCCAGGAGTCCAAGACCAGCCCGGGCAGCATAGCAAGACTTCATCTCTACAAAAAGTTAAAAAATTAGCCAGGTGTAGTGGTTGCATGCCTTCTCGTCAGGAGGCAGAGGCAGGAGGATTGTCTGAGCCCAAGAGATCCAGGCTGCAGTGAGCCATGATTGTGTCACTGCACTCCAGCCTGGGCGACAGAGTGAGACCCTGACTGGGGGGGGAAAAAGGGACCCAGGACTGTTGTGGGTGTGACCATGAGACATGCCTTAAGGTGTGGGCCTTCTGCGTGGTTGGTGGTTGCTCTTCAAAACATTCCAGAAACAAACTTCATTCTTGGCAGAGGTCTTCCTTGGCTCCAATGTTTTCTTCCTGATGTGGCCCTGCCTGGAGGGGACAGTCACTTGCCCTGGGTGTGTGGGTGGGGCCCAGTCTCTACTGGGGGGGCGGGCTGTTCTCTCCCTTGGGAGTTCTTCATCTCTGACACAGTGAGGGTCAGCTGCAGCCCCCTTCTGGCTGGGTCCCCCACGCGTGGTCAGGGCACTCCCCTGGGAGGCTGAGCACACAGGTGTGGGGCAAGGGCCGGCGGCTCCTGGGATGGGGACATGGATGTAGATGCCTTCCCATGTGCTGGCCATCCCGCCCCTGGAGGCTTCCTCGGCTTCCCCATCCCTGGGGAGACCAAGGCTCTCTCTGCCGTGGCCCCCTGGCCCTGCAGGCCTGAGCCTGGGGGGGGCCCCTGCTCACGGCCCTCTCCCCTCAGCATCATCAGCTGGTTTGTGCGGCAATTCAAGTACATATTCAGCCTTCGCTTTGAGGTCAAGGGTCAGCACAAGCTGGACGTGGACAGGCCGTGTGTCATCATCTCCAACCACCAGAGCATCTTAGACATGATGGGTAGGCGGAGCCTTGGGGTCCAGCGAGGGTTGGGGGCAGGTGCCAGGGACGGTTGGGAGAGCCAGGTGGGGCACCCTGAGCCAGGTGGAAGGGCTGAGGCTGGGCTGTACCGGTGTGTCCCTCTAGCTCAGGCGGCGCCCTGTCAAGTGGGAGAACAAGGTGCCCAGGGGCAGGAGTGAGGTCAGGAAGGAGGCTAGGGGTCAAGGAGCCAGTGGGAAAGCTGGGCTCCTGCCAGGCCCGCAGGATTGGCTGAGGCATCGTGAGGGGTATCTGTTCCCCTCTCTCCCCCCTCCCTCTCTCATGTCCTCTTTCTCTGTCCATCTTTCTGTCTCTCTTGCACATGTGCTCACCCTCCCTCTCTGTCTCCTCTCTCTCTGTCTTCCTATGTCTCTGTCTCCTCTCTCCTCCCTCCCTCTCTTTGTCTCTGTCCCTCTCTGTCTCCCTTTCTCTCTCACGCACCCCCCCGCCCCTACCACAGGCCTCATGGAGGTCCTCCCCAAGCGCTGCGTGCAGATCGCCAAGCGGGAGCTGCTCGTCCTGGGGCCCGTGGGGCTCATCATGTACCTCGGAGGTGTCCTCTTCATCAACCGGCGGCGCTCTAGCACCGCCGTGAGCGTGATGGCCGACGTGGGCGAGCGCATGGTGCAGGAGAACGTGAGTGGCTTGTCCCACGGACCCCGCCATGGACACGTCCTGCAGTTGCATGGAGAAGAGTAGGGGGGTGTTGGCTGAGAAGTGGGATCCTTAGGCCCGGCATGGTGGCACATGCCTGTAATCCCCGCCGTTTGGGAGGCTGAGGTGGGAAGATCACTTGAGTCCAAGAGTTCAAGACCAACCTGGGCAACATAGCAAGACCCCATCTCTAAAGAGAAAAAAAAAGTTTGGATGCAGAGCCTGTAATCCCAGCACTTTGGGAGGCCGCGGCGAGAGGACTGCCCAAGCCCAGGGGTTTGAGACCAGCCTAGGCAACTTGGTGAGACCTTGTCTCTACAGTATATCAAAAAATTAGCCGGGTGTGGTAGCATGCGCCCGTAGTTCCAGCTACTTGGAAGGCTGAGGCGGAAGGATTGCCTGAGCCCAGCAGGTCGACGCTGGAATGGCCATGATTGTGCCACTGCACCCCAGTCTGGGCGACAGAGTGAGACTCTGACTTCCCTAGGGTGGGGCCGGGCTGTGGGGTGGGGGCGGCCCCAGACAGCCAGCCCTTCTACCCACAGATCAAAGTGTGGATCTACCCTGAGGGCACCCGCAACGACAACGGGGACCTGCTGCCATTTAAGAAAGGCGCCTTCTACCTGGCGATCCAGGCCCAGGTGCGCAGGGCCTCGCCCCCCGGGTTGGGGAGTGACTGGGGAAGGTGGGGTCTGCTTGGCTTAGGGCTGTAGGTGACCACGCAGCCAGGCAGGCGACTGCCCGCACTCAGGGCCGACCACCCGCCGAGTGGGGGGCAGGCCTCACCACCCCTCCGGCACCTGGTCCCTGCCCTGCCATGGAGGGCAGCCCCTTGGGTCCTTCCACTCTCCCGGAGTGGTCAAGACTGGCGCCGAAGCAGACCCGAGTGACCAGCCGGTGGCCTGTCTGAGGGTGGGTGGTATTAGAGGTGCCATGAGGCTGCTGAGGCTCCCTCCACTGAGGCTTGGCTTCAGTGCCCGTTCAGTGCCCACTGCAGCTGTGGTGGCTCTGGGGAGTGGGCAGGGCTTGCAGTGAGGGCAGCATAAGGCCAGAATCTGGCCTGGGTGGAGCCGGCTGTGAACTCCGCCTCTGAACTTTGGACTTCTCTGGTCCCAAACCTCAGGGGTACAGTTTGCCCCAGGGGTGTCTGTAGAGTCACAGAGGTCCTCAAACTTTTAAAACAGGGAAATTGTTTTTAAACTATAGTCTGCCCCTCCAATGGTATGAGGGACAGTGAACTGGCCCCCTGTTTTAAAAGTCTGAGGACCCCTGGTAGGGGGTGTCTGTAAAGGCTGGGGGGTGTCCGTCCTCAGAGCAGGGTTCCCTGTCTGCCCCTGCCACTGCCAGGGAGATATGTCGGGGGAAGGAGTGTGCTCACTGCCTGGCTGGAGTCTCAGTCCCGGCAGGGGTCGCTGCCTATGTCCCTGTGCTGGTGGCCTCGAGTACCCCTTGGTGCCTGGCCCCGTGCAGGGCCTGGGGAGCCCTCCTTCCAGGGGCTCCTAGCAAAAACCACTGTGGGGGTGGAGGGTGCCCTGGCTAGGAGGGGTCCCAGGCTCTGATCCCAGCTCTACCCAGGTGGAGGGCACCCCTACGGGGGCTGATGTCACTCCCTGTGGGGGAGGGAAGCAGGCAAGATTGGCAGGCCCTGGGAAAGGAGAGAGGGGAGACCTGGGGCTGCGAGGGGGCGGGGCAGTGTGGCCTTAGCCAGGAGACTGGGTGACACTTCCTGCCCTCCCTCCCTTCCCCTGGGACCTGCCAGCCTGCAGCCTATCTGCCTGTGTTCCCAGAGGTCCCTGACTGCCTCAGGTTAATGATTACCCCCAGG